AAGTTCGTCATCCGAAATATCACTAAACTTTGGGTATTCATCAGCCATGGCGTCCGTTCATGTACACATACACACACCTTTTGATCACAATGCACGTGCTTTAATCAGACGAGTTCCAGGTCACTTATACCGATGGGACGGGTTCAAGATTTCATATCATCTCATGAGGTTGATATCGATCAGTCTATTGTAGATTTAGGGGTGCCAATTTAATGCAGTTTATGTTTTTACCCCTTGGTGTGTATGGCAGATAACACGCTACACCCCTTGATGATATTCGACAACAACACGCCTCGTTGCACTCGGCGTGTTGTTTTCGAATATCATCACGGGGTGTAGTGTATTATCTCACACGTAGACGATTTCGCAGTGGAGAAACGACCTGAGTAGTATTAACACGTGCGTCTTGCTGCGTTACCCTGAGCGTAAAACAGTCACGTGTTTTTTTTTAGACTGCACTCCGTATTGAAAGACGAAGTTGTTTTGACGAAGCCGGTGAACATAGAGCCAGACACATCGTCAAAACAACGTGTCCCTGGCGTAAACTACTGCAATTACATTAAACTTTATGTAAAGGACACTGCACAACGCGGGTCAATCCTGGTGAAGTGTGCATCGGCGGATGGTTCGTCAGTTGAAATTTATTTGTAATAAAATTTATGACTTTCTAGGCGGTTAGTGTTTGTTTGTCGGAAATGAACAGTACTCTTTCTGGAAAGCGTACTGTTCATTTCTGATACACGGATACTTTTATGCCTGTATTGGAAATAAACAGGACAGTTTTATCAAAGGTTGCCACTGGCAACGAGGTTGAAGTGGGATGTAATTTCATAATACATTACAACCTAACCAGTTGTTTTTTTTCAAAACGGGGTTGTTTGCGGTGTGCAACTCTGCAAGCATTTCTGTCGAGATTAGTGACTAAAATGATTCCCTTTTTTATAACTTTACTTTAGGAGGACTTTACAAGTGTCTCATTTATAAAATAACCTATAGCAAATTCGACAAACAAGTGCCCGCCTCCTTCCGGTGTGCCCGCGCCTGTAACTATTCTGCACTTATTATAAATTTCTATTATGTTCATTTATTCTATTTATTTATGTTCACACCCTTGCTGTTGTATTTCTAACTTAATAATAAAACTATTGTTGAATAAATTAATTAAAGATACGTTTAACACCGTTTCTATTTTTGTATCGTGTGAGATGCTAATTAATTCTTGCAGAGATAAATATTCATGCAGTATTTGTTTTCTATATTGAACGCCTTGAATCCGCCTCTTGTTTGACGGAGACGGCCCACGCGACAGTTACTGGTACCATCTTGTAAACACATTGAACTTCCAAGTTAAATACTTGAATATGTTCAAGTTTTATGGTGACCCAGTGCGCGGTTTCCCCTTGTCAGCGGTGCAGGGAGTGTCTGGCAAGGGCGGTGTCTAGTCGTTCGGGTGGGACAAATAAACATTGGCGTTCACGTAAAAGAACCGTTGATAGTTGGAATTGGAAAAAAGATTAGGCCGAATTATAGTGCCGCTGTCCTGGCGAAATGTCCCTCATAGCACACTGTATGGCATATGCCCCGTCTATGATTAATCAAACATCGAGGCGTGTAGGACGGGGGCCTTGCAAGGAACAGTATCTAGTTGCTCATATAGGACACAAAAACGAGGTCCCGTGCACGTTAATGAACCCCCGACAGTTGTCCGGGCAAACTTTCATTATAGTAGAGTGGTTCACAGTTTCAAGTATCTTGCTAATAATAGGGTGACCCACCATAAATAAATATCTCCATATATCTCGACAATTACGCCACAATATTTTTATATATGCCAAGCCTCAAATCAGTTTCACACAATTATAGTCACTAAATAAACGATCATGTTGTACTTAATAAGCTATGACCATTAATCATGTATAAATAATAGACTGAAAACTGGTTCCAAGAGTCGTCCATAACATCCAGACACTATTGAGTAAAAGATAGGTTACGTGCCCTTGTTTTGAAATTAGTCTCGCTTAACCAGTCTATCGACCATTCTACGTCTGATTGACAGGTCGGGATAATCAAGACTACTTTTTTACGAAACGTAACAGAAAGCTAGAACAAGAAATTGAATTTAGAAATAAGCACGTTAGGTAGCTCAACAATCGTTTTAAGAAGCTTGTAAAAGTAAAATCAAACTACTGCTAGTATCATGTTCCTGCCTAACCCGAGTGATTCAGAGATATTATTTGTACTAAACCAAAAGATGCCGCTCTTAACGGTACAGTTAATGATAAAGCGATTTAAAAAATGAAACGAACGTAATTTCTAAATCTGCTGTAATAACCAAGAAGCTTAATTTAACTGCTATTCAAAATCGTCAACAATAAATTTTTTACGGCTGTAATAGTTGATAGATTTGTAGAGAATTGCACGTGCCATGGCTATTTATAGTATCATACTGTCAGAAAGTTGGTCTCGGCACGGCGAATGTGCACGCTTCAGTGGTAGTCTCGAACTATCAGCGGCCGTGGACTGTATTTCTGTGCGTACATGGGTCACCCTACTAATAAAAAAACTAACCTTTTCTGGTCAACATTGTCACCATTAATCAGAATTCTCGAATGAAACCTATTAAGTCACGGGGTCGCACGTGCGCTGCAGGTAGCAATCATGATTACTGTTTTAAAGTATTTTCTTGTTTGATTTATATTGAATTTGTCTCATCTTTTTACAGAATGCATTTATGTTCAAAAATAAAAATGTTCTGTGGAATTCAAAATTCATGTGCTTTTGAATTTCTGTCTGATGTATTATAGTGTTTGCAGAATGCCGCATGGTTCATCTAAATATGCATGGATTTTCATAATCTTTGGCCAGGGCATTGCTTATATATATGTTTATTTATTAAATAACAGATGTTTTCAGACATCAACAACATGTGAGGTATATAGGACTAAGACTAGTAATTATTTCCCCTTTTTCATGATGGACGAATGTAGTTGAGTTATAAATATACAAGTTTTCCTTTAATTTTTTTCTCCCCTCTTCCTGCATTTTTGGGTTGATTTGGTCTAGAATTGGAGAACAAGGATCAAATGTGTAATTTCAAAGTAGTTTTGGTTAATACTGACGATATTACAGCAGAGGAATAGGGGGTGTAAAGTGTCTTTCTGCAGAGCAATCATTGTGTCAACATCAAATCCCTGTAGCAAAAATCTGAATGGTCAACGACCTACATAATTATCATGAGGAGATTGCCAAATGTGGCCCCCATTGTGCCTATAAATATTGGAACCAACGGAATGTTGAGCAAAATGTTACCGCCCGCGATATTACAGTCATTTAACATTGAAGTCAATGGGCAAACAATTGCTAGTCTGGGACCATCTTTTAGTCATTTTAATACCCATTTACAGTAAATAGGAAATATTTTTTACCTACAAATACGTCAAACGCCTTTATTTATTGTTCCAATACATAAAAAAAATGTTTTAGAATCTAGCCAATGACCCAGTTATTCTCAAATGTTGACAAATTATGAATTCAATGTTGACAAATTATGAATTCAATGTGACTAGTAATATCTTTATCAATATAAAGTGATTTGTTATCCAAACATTCAGCAGAGGAAGTTCATATAATTATCTGTTAGTGACATTCGTACATCTGACGGCGATATTTTTAGAGAAAGTTATCGGAATTTTCAGGCGTGGTACGCCCTTGTCAGTGGTGCAGTACAGGGGCCATGGCAAGGGAAGATGGGACGAAAAACCGAGTTCCGGTGTACACATTGGGGTTGACGTAAAAGAAGCCATTGCAGTCGGCTTTCGATAAACGATTAGGACGTAACACCGCTGTCCGGCAAAAAGTCCCTCATTAACCCAATCAGGGCAGATCAGCAGGACCCAATAGAATATTTTGGCACGCGTCCCCATCATGCATCAAACCAACCAGTCGCCACGCCAAAGCGAAATATAATTCTAAGCTGGAATCTTATTCCAACATTCATTTAATTTTGCGAACCTCAGCTTTCCCTCCCGTTTCCTACCAATATATGGAATACATGCACTTCTCAGTCCCAGCCAAATTTAAGGGTTGCAGCGCATGGAAAAAAATCCGTGCCAGGTGTAACTCTACTATAAGAGCGAAAGTCACTGTCGAGCTAAAATCTTCCCCCTTTGGTTCTAAATCTTTTGAACCTAGTAATTGATATATGTACAGCTAGTCAAGCAATAGTTGGATCTGGGTTTGCTTCTTAAACAGGTGACCACGGTTCAATCCTTAAAGGTCTGCGGGAATTTCCAACACGCTGTTTCTATTGTCATTCGCGAACCTTCTTTGGCATTTGGAATTCGACCAAGAGTTGGCGAACCCCCCTCTGTTATAGCCCGGTTGGGGCAGAAACATAGGACATCAAACCCCTAACGAAGATACTGTTAATTTTTAACTACGCCAATACGAGTCCAACCAAAAACCCGGCGCCTGTTTTGGTGGTTCGCCAAGAGCCGCGCCGTTTTTCTGGCGAATCATCCCAACCTGTGCTACTCCAGCGAGTCACCAAAACCGACCTCGCTCTTATTCAATTATTGATTAGGAACGCGGGCGACAGAACTCCGTCGACAATCGAAAACCGCAACATATATTCAATTGGTTTTACACTGCGTGGACAAAAACCCTTCAACAAAACGGTAGGCGACATGGCTGGTCGCCACTGCGCACGCAAGGGAGTAGTGCAAATGAAGAAACTGGATCTGACTAAACATCCCGAGAATTTGAGAGAGTGTGATAACCTCCTAATCACCACCGATGGACGCCAGCCCACGGTAACCCTCACCCCCAAGTATCATCTTGACTAATTTTATGGGCGAAAATGTCAGTATGATTGACTAAATAACCGGATCGGCGGCGCCATACGAGGCCTCGTATCTTGTTCCGGGCCACCTCGTCCATGCCCAATGCATCAAATCCTCTAATTTCGTCGACAACACAAAACAAAAATCTTTGCTAGAAACGTGAACTTATATTTAGTATAGATCTCAGGAGTTTTGTTAAATCTCAACTTTAATATGCATATGTTTGGTCAGTTCCCAACAGTTTAAATTTACTAAGCTGCAAAACAATCACTAAAGATCTCATCTGAAAATAAAATAATTATAAATGAAAAGCATATTTTATTGACCTGTATTGATATAATTCTATATGATAGATCAATGCCGGATTTACCTTGTCATAAGCCTTTCTTTCACGCACTGCAATCTTAAATGCCCGTCGTCATTCTTGATTTTACTAAATTGGGTTTAAAACACAACTTCATTTTTCTTTCTCTAGTCGCGAGGGTGACGGTTTGGAAGGGGTCCCGTCACATATAAACCCGACATCAAAATGACGAATTGCATAGTGAAGTCTGTATCATTACAGACCCGGGACTGTAAAACGCAATGGACGCCTAATTCTGGCCCCTTGATCCATTCACTTGATTTGATATTTGTTGCAATGCTTTTATAGTTTGCCTTGTCCGCAGGTTTGTCTTGTTGGTTCCTACACTTACTAATATAGACAAAAGGCCTACAGCGCATGCGTTGGGAAACTTTGTCACCCAACTTTCTGTAAGTGTAACTAATATAATTACCTCCATTGATTTTGAGATCACAGACTGCTATTTTATTATTCCTTGCTACCAAATAAACTGATCTGGCTGCAAGCGGTACTGTGCTAGACGAGCATTTACCGATAAAGACATTTTCAGAAGCTGCTTCACTTGAACACAAGACCGAGGATTGGAAGCCTTCAGCACTGCAACTACTCTCTGTGCCCAACCTTACTTCAAATGCTGAAATTGTAATCAAACAAATGTTAAATGACGTTAAATGGACCAAATGCAAATCCTTGTGGAACACCGACTCACTAACTAAGGTTTCCCTTTATACCAATGGTGCAGGGCAGAGGGTCTGGCAAGGAATTTAACAGTATCTAGTCGAAAAGATGGCTCGCTAGCCTAGACTTCTCGGATTCGCTCCTGGTGTTGGCAAGGAAAGAGGCTTTGAATTTTCCGGCGTGGTTTCCTCTTGTGAGTAGGACTGGACGGAGGGCCTGACAAGGACAGTTGTCTAGTCTTTCGGATGGGACAAAAACGAGGTATCTTGTAAACAACAATTTTATACAATTTAGAAAGGCGGTCGAAAATGAAGCGTCAGTATTAACAACTTCGTTTGGATTAATTAATGCCAGATCCGTAAGAAATAAAACAACAATTTTATCTGATTATATTTTTAAAAATTCTATTGATATTTGTGGAATAACTGAAACGTGGCTGAATAATGACTGTTCGGAATCATCGACAATCGCAGCTTCAGTACCTGATGGATATTCTATACAACATTGCCCTCGCGGTTCACGTGGAGGAGGCGTAGCACTTATATTTAAGTCATCTATTAAGTGTAAGAAAATCCGTCATGACCGTTTTGATTCTTTTGAAATTTTGGATTGTTCTCTACAGTTTTCTTTCAAGGAAACTAGGATTATTACAATTTACCGCCCGCCCAATAGCAAATTGTGTCAAAAGTTTATGGAAGAATTTGGATTATTTCTGGACCAGTTGATGATGACTAAGTGTTGCACTATTATTTGGGGAGATTTTAATTTTCATGTTGATGATTCCAACGACTCTACCGCGGTTGATTTTTGTGATATGCTGAATAATAGATCTCTCACACAACATGTTTCTTCTTCTACTCATAACAGTGGACATATTCTCGATCTGGTGATAACTAATCTCTCTGTCTCGGACAAATTAATATCTGATCATTTTCCGGCAACTTTTAATCTTATGATCCAGAAACCACAACCAACAAGAAAGACTTTAACATATCGTAGGTTTAAATCATTTGACATAAATAAATTTAAAGCGGAAATAGTGAACTCGAATTTCAATGGCATTCAACGTATTCAAGATATACAAGAGAAGGCAACCCAATATCACTCAAAGCTTGCTGAAATTTTGGACTCGCTTGTTCCTCTTCAAACGAAAACATTTACAATTCGTCCCAATACGCAGTGGTTTAATGATTCTATTTTAGAAGCCAAAAGGGACCGTAATAAGGCTGAACATCTGTGGCGGAAAACAAATCTACATGTCCATAAACAGATTTATAAATCTTTAAAAAACAATGTGAATAAATTAATTGATGATGCTAAAATTCAATTTGACTCTGATAAAATAGAAAATGGCGAAAACAGACAAAAAGACCTGTATAAAGTTGTGAATTCCCTTTTGGACCATAATGCTGAGCGTACTATCCTCCCGGACAATGATAATGACATTGAACTTGCAACTTTATTCTCTGATTTCTTTCATCAAAAATACAGAAAATACGAACTGAACTTGATGATTTAAATAAAACTATTGACTTTAACGCTCATGATTTTGATAAGTTAGAAAATTCTGTTTATTTAGAAAATTTTAACTTGGTTAGTGAATCTTTTATTTTAAAGCTAATTAAATCGTCTGCTCCTAAATCTTGTTCATTAGATCCTGTTCCGACTTCTGTTCTTAAGGACTGTCTAGACGAAGTTATTCCAGTTTTTACCAATATTATTAATTCTTGTATATCATCCGCTACTATTCCCAACTTTTTCAAACGAGCTTATGTTACCCCTTTAATTAAAAAGTCTACACTGGATCCTAATGTTTTTAAAAATTACAGGCCAGTCTCTAACTTAAGTTTTATTTCTAAAATATTGGAGAAATGTATTGTGCTATTTTAATATTAGAAATATAGGTAAAATACGTAAATGTGTAACTGTAGAGGCCACTAAGTCACTTGTTAATTCTCTGGTCACTTCTCGATTAGATAACTTTAATTCACTTTTAGTTGGTTTACCTTTAAAGCTTATAGATAAATTACAAAAAGTACAGAATACTGCGGCTAGACTTGTTACTTTAACTAAGAAATGTGACCACATAACTCCTGTTTTATATAATTTACACTGGTTACCTGTTAAATATCGAACTGATTTTAAGATTTTATTACTTACTTTTAAATGTTTAAATAATTTAGCTCCTGTTTACCTCTCAGATCTTTTAGAACTTTATACACCTGGCCGAACATTACGTACATCAGATAAACTACTTTTAAAGCCCAAAACTGTTCAACTAGTCTCTTATGGTCAGCGCTCTTTTAGTTATCAAGCACCTGTTTTATGGAATAATCTACCATTTAGTTTAAGATGTTGTACATCTCTGTATTCTTTTAAAAAACAACTTAAAACACATTTATTTAATCAGGCTTTTAACTGTCTCTGTATACAATCGTTAACATGCTCATAATCTTGTTGTTTATGTGTGATTTACATTGTCACTTTGTAAAGTGCCTCTGAACATGTTATATGAAAGGGTGCACTATAAATATGCTGTAATAATAATAATAATAATGATACATTGGCATGCACGTAAAAGAACCCTTGGCAGTTGGAATTCAATATCAGAGTAGGCCATAGCTCTGCTGTCCTGCCAAAAATAACCCCATAGCACACTGCATATCACAATCCCGTTTTCATTAGCCCAGTATTAGCAGAACAGCAGGAAGTTAAACCAGGTTTCATTTCATTTCATTTCTTTAATTCAGAAATGTAATGTAAACACAACAAGTACGACCGAGTTATATAGAAACTAAAGCCCATTCTGATCACATCACATGACAGTGTGCCTTAATGGGACCGTGTCGGCCATGTTAGTTCCGGGGAGTTTGAACGTAAATACCCGGATGTTCACTATGTTATCGCATCAATAAATCTGTGTCCAACTATTTTAAAACTTGCACAAATATTATTAAATTTTCCCACCTAAATATTTATTGTTTAATAAAAATGATAGAACAATTTAAATTTGACATATTGACATCTCGACCGCAGTGTTTCTATCTCTACTCTACCTTCACTTTCTCTTTTAATTTTTAGCAAAATATTTATCTTTTAAATTAGTACAATGTCCACAATATATATTACTATTCAGTAAATTTGCTAATTTTGCCAAATTGTTCTTGAAATTTTTGGAACTAATTTATAAAGATTGAAGAGAAATTGATGTTATTTTAACAATAAACGTGAGCGGAAATCATTAGCCCGCAGAATTATATATTGATATCCAAAAGAAAATATACACACTAAAAGTATGACTAAAAGTACGATTATAATCCAGGAAACAAGCATGGCGGCCTCGCAGCCATTGCGGAAATACGTACCTTGGGATTGTTGAGCTAAGGAAATGATGCTAATTTCGTAGTACCTCTCTAGATCAACACACAACCAAGCGACTGCCTCGCTGTTCGTACTACTACACGTGGCAGGATCACTATCTATCGCTAAATCTGCAGCCAGGTTGCCAGCAGTGCTCGACTGTACAATACCTTTTCCATGGGCAAGATTTGTGGGCTCTTATCAACATAAAAAGTAGAAATAAAAATCATGTAATTAATTCAACTTGACCGGACGTTTACTTGGACGTGCGTGTGAGTTTAGCGGAGGGGGGGGGGGGGTAAGTGGTTTAAAGCGTGCGCGTGAAACCATTAGGTCTATCATTGAGCCAAGTGGCGTGACAACGAATGTTTTTTCCTGGTCTTCCGGTTTACTTCGCAAACAAATTATTGAAATATATTCAAACATATGTTAGTCCAGAACCACCATTTCCCCCTCTTCTTAGATAATGATTATGACTAAGCTGATCAGTCAGATTCCAGAACTTATGTGAAGGGGCGTAATGACGCGCTTTGCGTTCTGTGTTGGGGTATTTGCCGATAGGGCATACGTGACAAGGAGTGTGGGGTGGCTCAGTGACTAAAGTACTGACTCGCCCACCAGGGGGACCCGGTTCGACACAGTTCCTTAAATTTTTCAGCGTGGTTTCCCTTTGTTAGTTGTGCAGGAAGGAAGCTCTATCAAGAAACGGCGCCTTGTTGTTCGGATAGGACGAAGTACCGAAGTCTTTGTACACGTTGGAATGCATGTAAAACAGCCGTTGGCAGTTAGAATTCGATAAAGAGTGGACAGAAGCATGGTTGTCCAGGCAAAATTTCCTTAAGAGCACATTGTATGGCGTATGCCCATTTTCATTAGACCGGTTGGTGCAGAAAAGCAGACCGTTAATCCCTGTAACACGAGTTTGTCCTTTTGTATATATATTTTTGCTTACCTTTTATCAAAACCTGCATTTCTCGAAAGGATATGAGATTTGGGTTGGAGATGAAAACTGTCTGACCGGCAAATTCAATCTTACCCTGGTTACAACCAGATACTGTATATGACCTCTGAACCCCGGTTGAATCACGGTAGCAGGGGGTCGATGAACTAAAAGCAGTACAATCATCAGTATAGCCCAGGTTAATCCTGAAGCCGTTTAGGTTGTTCATAGCTTAAAATAGGAGAAAAAATAAATATATCTGTGAAAGTTAAACATAAAAATAATAGAGGCGATGAGACATATCCCAATAACAGACAAATCACGCATTTTATCAAACATTTGAACTATTGATTGTTTCAACAAACATCAACAAATAAAAACAGCGTCCCCGATTTTTAATTTTGGAAATGTCAAAATAAGACACGCCACCTCATATTATATCGACTACAATATATGGGTTATGACAGTTGCAATTCGAAATAAGAGTAGACCGTATGGCCACTGTCTAGGCAAAATCTCCCTCATAGCACACTGTATGACGCATGCCCATCTACACTGGTCTAGAGGAACTAAACGTTTAACTGGATAATTAGATTGTAATAACTCTTATAATTAAATTGTATTGACTGCTGTAATTAGATTGTAATGACTGTTATAATTAGATTGTAATAAATGTTATGATTAGATTGTAATAACTTTTATAATTATAATTAGATTGTAATAACTCTTATAATTAAATTTAATAACTTACTGTGATCTATGTCTTTATTATTGATTATAATTTTTTCTATATTAAAAAACGTCTTTAGATTGACACACCACCATGCAGTGGAACCCTTGGCCGTTGTTATGGTTCTATAATCACCATCGTTACCATTAGTGTAACCATCTGGACCCCAAACTGTACTACTGATAACCGGGGGTTTGTTAAGTGCCACATTAGAGTACTCTATTTAAGAATAAAATTAAATCTTAAGACTATGATGACCTCCATGATTGAAAATTACAAAACTTGTTTAAAACCGGTTTGATCCAAAAAATAATTTGTCATACACAAACTTCGACACATTTGCTTTCAAAGTAAAAAGCCACACTCTCTACTTTAACGCGGAAAGATAACCATTCGGTTAACTCAACTAAAATTCGATTGTCTGAACAGAACCCATGCCAATATTCGTTTAAAGAAATTTACGGTGGCCCAACGAAGCTAGAGGCGGTGGTGTTTAATATTTGACTTTCTTTGTCGAAATTATAAAAAAAAAAAAATTTCAACAGAGAACACATTACTGCATGTTTGTGTTGGAAAGTGTTTTCGGAAATTACAATAAAACTAGAATTAGGCAGTAAAACTATCTTCGTGAAAGCCAGATAATGATCCCTACTGCCGACGTATCTCACTATTAAATATCAAATACATGTTGGTTTTCAGCAATAATATCATAAAACAGTCTCAGATTTTAACAGCGCTTGTGATCTTCACATGGTCCGTCACTTACCGGCATAAACTTCAAATTCGCCAAAATGTAGATATTCACTGGATCTAACCACAAAAACATATCTTCCAGAAAAGGCCCCGCCTTTATTACATCCGTTGATCTCATACTTGGCGGAACCGGAACTCGACGTGTCAGTGTAGCATAGTCTAGCTTGTGAATATGAATGTGATCCGCTGTCAGTCACTTTGATGTGAAATCCTTTAATTCTGTCAAAGACTAATAAAAATAATAATAATAATAAAATATTATTTTCAAAAATATAGAAATTATAACAAAATATAGAATTTATAACAAAATATAGAAATTATAACAAAATACATATATAAAATTATGACAAAATATAAAAGTTGTAACAAAATATAAAAGTTGTAACAAAATATAAAAGTATAGACAAAAATATAGAAATTATAATAATACATAGACATTATAACAAAATATAGAAATTACAATAATACATAGACATTATAACAAAATATAGAAATTATAACAAAATATTATAGACATTATAACAAAATATTATAGAAATTATAACAAAATGTTATAGAAATTATAACAAAATATAGAAAATTATAACAATACACAAACTAGGTCATTTCGGGACTAACATATCATTCAATTTTATATCAATAATTCGCTTGCACGCAGGGATTTTTTTTAGCAGTGAGAGGACACCTTAGGACCCGGGGATAACCCACGAGGTTGGACAGGCGAAACCATGCCAGTTGACTCAATGAAAGACCTTATGATACAACGCACGCGCGTTACCGTTCGCCCCCTCCCCCAATTATAACAATATATAGAAATCATTTCAAAATATAGAAAATTATATCAAAATTTAGAAAATTATAACAGAATATAAAAATTATAACAGAATATAAAAATTATAACAAAATATAAAAATTATAACAGAATATAAAAATTATAAAAATAATAAGAAATTATAATAAATAATAATAAGAAAATATAATAAATAATAAGAAGAAATTATAATAAATAATAAGAAGAAATTATAATAAATAATAAGAAGAAATTATAATAAATAATAATAAGAAATTATAAAAATAATAAGAAAATATAAAAACAAATATAGAAATTTATTTACAATTTACAATCATACATGGTTAAATATAATTGAAATCAGTGCCGGATTTACCGGGGTGAGGTCTGTGCCGGATTTACCTATATGCTTGGTAGACTGAAGTCTATATGGCCTCAAAATCTAAGGTGTATATTCATAGCCTGTTCTTATACGTACTGCAGTCTTAAACATTCATCAGCATCCTCGGCTTTAGAACATACTTTCATATTCGTCTAGTCTTTTATGAGATCGTTTAATTTTTGGATATGATGCATAGAACCAATCTGATTAAAATACAGATCTATATTTCGTTTCGTTTTTTTTATACTTTCGATGGAAATGAAATGAAATGCAGTGGGATTTAACATCCTACTGCTCTGCTCCGACCTGGGCTAACGAAGACGGGCATACCCCATACATTGTGCTATGAGGGTAATTTTCACCTGACAGCGGCATACTCTAATATCGAATTCCAACTATCAAGGGATCTTTTACGTGCACGCCAATATGTGCACGGGCCCTAAGTTTTTCGTCCTATCCGAACGACTAGACAGCTGTCCTTGTCAGTCCCTCCGTCCTGCATCACTGACAAGGGGGAGGGGGGCACGCGGGAAAATCAAGATGAACTTTCTCGGCCAATGCAGGGATCGAACACCCGACCTCCAGGCTAGCGAGCCAGCGCCTTACCCACTTAGCCATTGTGACCCCTACTTTCGATGGCCCACACTACATGAAGATCTGACAAGTTGTACTCGAAGGTCGTGTCAGGGGTCGTACGAGCGGCTCTTGACTCTATGACGCCAGACATTGATTAATCAATCATCATTGGCGTTTCTAGTGGTTTACCCACAGTTCCGTGCATGACACGCCAAGAAGTCGCCGTAACAGACTGTTTCATTGGCTTATTCCTCGTTACGACCAAAACGGCGGAAATATAACAACTCTTCCAGATCCTAGTGTAGTAAATACAAGTAAAACGATATTTTGACCTATAAAAAACGAAACGAAATGGGATCTGTATTTTAATCAGATTGGCGTAGAATATACATATCTATAAAATAGATTTCCTATTGCTCCGAACTGGGCTAATGAATACGGGCATACGCCATTCAGTGTGCTGTAAGGGAAATTTCGCCCGGACAGCGGCACTCTTATATCGAATTCCAACTGTCAAGGGATCTTTTACGTGAACACCAATGTGTACACGGGACCTCGGTTTTTCGTCCAATCCGAACGACTAGACAGCTGTCCTTGTCAGGCCCTCCGTCCTGCATCACTGACAAGGGGGAACCACGCCGGAAAATCTGGATAAACTTTCTCGACCAATGCAGGGATAGAACACCCGACCTCCAGGCTAGCGAGTCAGTGTCTTACCAACTTAGCCACCGTGACCCAAAGCCCCAAACTCAGGCGCCTGTAACGTGGAAAATATTTCAAAAATAACATCAAACTATGACTAAATATATGTCTAAAGTCTGTTACGTCTATGTTCGTAAGCGAGATAATCAAATAACTGGTCTGATTCCAATTTCTAATTCCGGGGCAATGTTTACAAATTGTCCACTTGACTTAAGGAGGGTCGAGTGGATAATTTTAAAAAGGCATCGAAGACTCGATTGTCTACCTAGCGAAATTTAGTGAGTATTGCCACTAGTTGACGGAATCTAGAATAGTGAATTTGACCCCAATTATTTAATTCCAACCCGTTTCTCACCTTGGTATTATTATATCTACTGAAAGAGAATCGGTTTCGGACAAGTTTTTTGCCCCTGAGTTAGAAATTGGAATAAGATCAGTTATTTGATAATATCGCTTACGAACAAGGACTGAAGAAATTAAACATAAACATGTACTTAGGGATAGCTTAATGCTTTTTTTGAAATATTTTTCACGTTACAGGTGCCTCAGATCTTCTGCTTTTAAGAAATCTTGGTTAATCCCCAAGAACTCACACCAAACTTGCCGTTGTCTCCACCGCGGACCCATCCCCACCCCACCCCCTTTACTTGCTGCTCTAATTTCCGAGCACATCCCTGAATTTAAATATTAAATAATATACTCACTAGCAGAATTGTCTCTATTGTACATAACAATCTTCTTAATCGTGTAAACGTCTTGTAGATCAACACGCCACCAAGGTGTACTGCTACTTTTGGTGCATAAAAATGTTTTCTTAATTCCATCGTTTGCACTTTCGGGAGGGTAGTAGAACTTGTAGATACTCTCAGAGGTCGTGGGCTTACCGATAGCAACGTTAACTATATCTGTGCCTATAGAGAGGGCGAAAAAGAGAGAGGGAGAGAAAAATTAGCTTTAACGTCCATTTAAAACAATTTTATTTCAACAATTGGTCCCGAAGGAAACCCACGATGTTTGACAGGCAACCCTGCTTCCTGTCCCGTACAAGCGTGGTCTCGACACCACACCACTTAACTCAACGATAGGGTGCCCCACCATAAATAAATATCTCCAAATATCTCGACAATTACACAAAAATATATATATATATATCATAGTATAAAATATAAAAATAACACCGGAAGCAAATCGGTGTTATTTTTATATTTTATACTATGATACTGTACATTAGAACAACAACTCACTACAGCTATATATATATATATATATATATATATATATATATATATATATATATATATATATATATATATATATATATACCAAGCCTTAAATCAGTTTCGCACATTTATAGGCACGAAATAAACGGTCATGTTGCACTTAATAAGCTATGGCCATTTAACCATCCATGAATAATAGACTGAAAAATGGTTACGAGTGTCGGCCATAACATCCGGGCACTTTTGAGTAACAACATGGGTTACGTGCCCTTGTTTTGAAATTAGTCTCGCTTCACCAGTCTACTAGTCTCTATCACCCAGAAAAATATTCTACGACTATTAGTCTGGATGCTTACTGGATGCGTTGTCAACAGTTGTGAAAAATAGGTCATCTGCTAGATTATCCGGTCTTTTATATTATCATAGACAAAGTCTAAGGGAGGTAACTAGTCTTAAAACAAGACGTTGACGCTAATGAAATTAATTTAAGAATGTCATTTCAAAAAATCCATTTGATTCCATTGCCAGTTCAATATCCAACACTCTTTTTGTTTTTTATTATAAACTTTCTCTCTTCATGGGCCATATATATGTTTTTTTAAATTAATCCTAATCGTCACGATTCATGTTTGTTTATATTAATGCAAGAATAGTGGGATTTATTGCGGGAAGGGGCAACACTCTTACTTGACTTGACCAAAGATACTGGATAATCAACCACATTAAAAATCAAACTCTTGGTTACGCACGGGCAATGGAACCTTTTGTCAAATATTGACAACGGTCCCAGACCCTCCGTACCAATCTGTTTCACAGAGTATTACGAAACTCATCTAATATCTCTGAAATAGATGAATACCTTAATACATGATGTCATATCACGCGGCCGGGGGGGGGGGGGGGGTCACGTGGCTAAGTGGGTAAGGCGCTGGCTCGCTAGCCTGGAGGTCGGGTGTTCGATCCCTGCATTTGCCGAGAAAGTTCATCCAGATGTTCCAGCGTGGTTTCCCCTTGTCAGTTATGCAGGACGGAGGGCCTGACAAGGACAGCTGTCTAGTCGTTCGGATGGAACGAAAAACCGAGGTCCCGTGTACACATTGGCGTGCACGTAAAAGATCCCTTGGCAGTTGGAATTCGATATAAGAGTAGACCGTAGTGCCGCTGCCCGGGCAAAATTTCCATCATAGCACACTGTATGGTGTATGCCCGTCTTCATTAACCCAGTTTAGGAGCAGAACAGTAGGACGTTAAACTCCATTTTATTTCATTTCATTTCATATCACGCGGCGTCAATCATTGGCACAATGGCGCGTGCATTGTTTACATAAGACATTACAACTGATTCGAGTAGAATGGTGCCTTTTACTCATTTTAATAAGCATTTACACTAAACTAAAAATAGAAATAATTTTTGCCTACACAAATACTTCAAAAGTCTTTATTCATTTTTCTAATGCATAGAATTGTTTTTAGAATTTAATTTGTCGGAGGAAAAAAGTTAATATTTGTTGCTCATGAAGTCGCATCGATGTCATCTTTATCAGTGATTGTCGCGGCCTAACGAATATTCACCCCGGATCAGTGTGCCTCCGTACGTTGAAGACTAGGATTTTCTGGGTGACCGAGACTACCAGTCTACCGACCATTCTACGTCTGATTGACTGGCCGGGATAATCAAGACTACTTTTTTTTACAAAACATAACAGAAAGCTGGAACAAGAAATTGAATTTAGAAACACGCAACTTGGGCAACTCTACAATTGTTTTAAGAACCTTGTAAAAGTAAAATGAAACTACTGATAGTATCATGTTCTTGCCTAACCCGAGTGTTTTAGAGATATAATGCAATAGTTATTAGCACACTTTCGGAGGTGTATCGGTGAAGATCAGGACAGCTTTGGTCGGTGGCAGGAAAGTTGCTAATAAGTCACTTACATCACATTTCTATCGAGTATTATGAAGCGAAATGTGAAAAATAGTATTTATTATCGAGTCGTGTCAGGCGAAATGTGACAAATACTTTCTGCTCTTTCATTTATCCCTTTCTGTGCCTCAAGTTACATTTCGTGGTAGAATGATTTCGCAGTGGAAAAACGACCTGAGTAGTATTTACACGTGCGTCTTGCTGCGTTACCCTCAGCGTAAAACAGTCACGTGTTTTTCTTTAGACTGCACTCTGTATTGAAAGATGAAATGAAATGAAATGAAATGAAATGGGGTTTAACGTCCTACTGTTCTGCTCCTAACCTGGGCTAATGAAGACGGGCATACGCCATACAGTGTGCTATGAGGGAAATTTTGCCCGGACAGCGGCACTACGGCCTACTCTTATATCGAATTCCAACTGCCAAGGGATCTTTTACGTGCACGCCAATGTGTACACGGGACCTCGGTTTTTCGTCCCATCCGAACGACTAGACAGCTTACCTTGTCAGCCCCTCCGTCCTGCATCACTGACAAGGGAGAACCACGCCAGAAAATCTGGATGAACTTTCTCGGCCAATGCAGGGATCGAACACCCGACCTCCAGGCTAGCGAGCTAGCGTCTTACCCACTTAGCCACGTGATCCCCTATTGAAAGATGAAGTTGTTTGGACGAAGTCAGTGAACAATGAACATAGGGCCAACCACATCGTCAAAACAACTTGTCACTGGCGTAGAGGACTGCAATTATATTAAACGTAATGTAAAGGACACTGCACAACGAGGGCCAATCCTGGTGAAGTGTGCATCGGTGGATGGTTCGTCCGTTGAGATTTATTTGTAATAAAATTTATGACTTTCTAGGCGTTTTGTTTTCATCCTGCCTGTATAAAAGTGTTTGTCGGAAATGAACAGTACGTACTGTTCATTTCTGATACACGGATAGTTTTATGCTTGTATTGGAAATAAACAGAACAGTTTTATCAAAGGTTACCACTGGCAACGAGGTAGAAGTGGGATGTAATTGTACTAAACCAAACGATGCCGCTCCTAACTATATAGTTAATCATAAAGCAATTTAAAAGATAAAACGAACGTAATTTCTGAAGCTGCTGTAATAGCCAAAAAGCTAAATATTACTGCAATTCAGAATCGTCAACAATAGATTTTTTACGGCTGTAATAGTTGATAGATGTATAGAGAATTTCACGTGCGATCGCTATTTATAGACTCTAGCGCTGCGTGTTATCGTACTGCATGATTAACTAGAAATCACTTCGAGACAAACCACTGAAGCGTGCACATTCGCCGTGCCGAGTTCAACTTTCTATAGTGAAAATTTTCACTGCACGGGGCACCCTATCAACGACAGATCATCTTTTGATCTATATAGCGTACATGTTAGACCATTCACCGCCTTCCCCATCCTCCATCCATGTGTCTATAGAAAAGGGTATATTCCTTTCAATAATTTAATGTAACTTGGTATGATCAATATACATCAACGAAATATTGTTATTTTTGCGAGGGTTCAAAATGACCGACACATTGACTGAGATTGTTTAAAGATGCATTATGTAAGAGTTAAATATGCCTAATTCAGGTCTTGTTTCTGGCTTTAATGGATTGAAACACGATCACCATTTAGTAATTTAAAAATGGATAATCAAGACTTTCTTTATTATTGTAAAACCGGTATTTGACAATTGAGGATATTTAATAAAACTGCACACTCATAAATTCGCTCAGAATAGAGTAATTTGACTGATATTTTCAGAATAATCATTTTTTTTTATTTATCTAATTTTAAACTGTATTGTAGCAAAAACGGCTAGCTCTTTATTATCTTGCATAATTCATCTTTAAAGTGAGACAATCTAATTAAAGGTATGTTATGGGAGATTAGATAATGAGTTGCCTTTTCTCGCTATAATAGTTAAGAAATACATAACTTAAATAGAATATGTTGAAAATTCCAGTCAAATTGCTAGACTTTCGACTTAGTCATTATTTTGTATTTATTGATGTCAGTAAGAAGGCGCCAACACGCATACCAAGCCAAAATGCAACTCGAAAAGTAGAAATTAGGAAATTAACACACCACGCTATTAGCCACTTTTCGCCTCGTAAGTTGTTGTAGTCTCAGTTAATTTCCTAATTTCTACTTTTCGAGTTGCATTTTGGCTTGGTATGTGTGTTGGCGCCTTCTTACTGACATCAATAAATACAAAAATATGACTAAGTCGAAAGTCGACAAGACGGTATACAAGCCAAAATGCAAGTCGAAAATAAGAAATTATGAAAAAACGAGGGGCGCTATTATCGCTGTGTGTTATTTCTTAATTTCCTATTTTCGAGTTGATTTTGGCTTCTATTGCGTGTTGTCGCCTCACATTTTGTCGCAACTTCTACTTTTCGACTTTCGTGTTTTGAAGAGGCGAAAAGTAAAAATTATGAATGGTAGTTATAGGCTTCCATAGTATATGGCGTATGACCGTCTTCATTATCCCAGTCGGTGCAGAACATTAGGACATTAAACCCCATTTCACCCATTCATATAGAAAACTTTCGAGTTAAGTTTGTTTTTGTGGCTTGTACCCAGTATACATTAAAATTTCGTTTCTTCGGTTCGTTTGTCCGCTTCTAGGTTTTTGTTGTTGTTTTTTTTAGTTATAAAGCACGAAATTAGAAATAATACGAAGCGAAATTGATTTTAATCAGTTTCAAAATCTGAAAACACCCCTATACAAAGATTCTAAAGGGACTGTGTGCATAGAATTCTTGGGGTTTTCTTTGACGAAGTATCGACATTCCAAAATTTTTATGCTGACATGAATTATTTGGAATTGTACGAATGTTCTTTGAAAAAAATGCAGTACCACATTTGGAGACGCGGTGGGCCAATTAATAAGGAACTGGATCAGTAAACTGGTGGCATAGGTTCACTCCCAGTTCCTTGTTTTCCCTTGGAGAAAGTACCAGTAGGCCAAGAGTAAGAGTAGACTGTGTATGCCCGTCTTCATTAGCCCGTTTGGCGCAGATAAGTAGGTCGTTAAACAGCTTGTACTTACCCCCGTGTGGAAGACCGACGCCGAGCAGCAAGATAGAAACTATTGGTGTTAACAACATATTTGCACCTTCGTCTTCTGGCTTTCAGAATGAACGCAAAATAAAACTCAACAACTTTATAGAAGAATGTATAATATGCTGTAGTCAGATGTAAATTATAGAAGGGGGCTGAGTTTCCATATTTGATTTAGCGCCGACAGTGAACAATACATACATTAAATTAAAAATGATTATTTAAATTTGACGATTGCCACCATAATTAGTTATCTGCATTATTAAATTTTAACTGGGTAAATTATACGAAAGAGAATTCTAGATTAATATCCTTTCCATAAAACTTTTTGTTATCCAACTTAAAGCTGCTGATTCAATTAAAAACGAAAATGTCTTACTCTTCTGCCCCGACCGAGGTAATGAAGGCTGGCACACACCATTCAATGACGGAATTTTGCCCAAAGGTTTTTTCGTGCACGCCAATGTGTACACGGGACCTTGTTTTTTCGTACCACACGAACGACTATATGTTGTCTTGTCCCAAGTCCCGTTTCCTTCACCACTGGCAAGGGGGAACCACGCCGGAAAATCCTCGTTGGAATTTTTCGGCCAACACCGGGATCGAACACGGTACCTCCAGGTTAGCGAGTCAAAGTCTTAGACACTGAGCCACCGCGGCACCTCCAGCTTGAATCCGCTGATCGTTATTTGAGGGATATAGAATGCCTTTCAAACTACAATATTTTAAAAGTATTATCAATTCAAAATGATCCAGTTCCGTTTAGTATTTACAAAATTCTGGCAATATTCGGTCTTCACTGTAAAAGATGTATACAAGTCAGCGAGAGGAAACCAGAAAACCAGGAGAAAACCCACGAGGATGGACAGGGGACTGTGATCCTTGTCACGTACACTCTTGGGATCGAAACCACAACAATTGCCACAATGACAGACCTCATGAACTAAAGCGCACGCATAAGACCACTCGACCATCCGACACCGCGTGATATGAAAGATGGGGACGGTGAGACGAAAAATATAGTTACACAAGGGTATGCATTGACAGTGACAAATCAAAACTCCCCTCATAGCACATTACGTATGCCCGTTTTCATTCGCACGGTTGCTGTGGTACCCCTTTTCATTTCACTGCACAGTGTAACCAAGGGTTCTTTTACGTGCATGCCAATGTGTACACGGGATTGCTCGTCCCATTCGAACCACACCGAAATATCTAGAAGAATCTTTTCGGCCTACACTGGGATTGAACACAGAACCTCCAAGGTAGCAAGCCAACGTCTTACTGCAGGGCGTTGGATGTCTGAATGGTTAGCGTGCGCGCGTTGTATCAGAAGGTCTGTCCCTGAGTCAACTGGTGTGGTTTCGATTCCCCGACTGTACGTGACATAGAGTAGGGTCCCCCTCCGGTTTCCTCCCACTGCTAAAGACCTCTACGCGCAAAGCGAATTATTGAAATAAAATTGAGCCATGTGTTAGTCCCGAAATGGCCAAGTTTTTGTCGAGTCGACGTTAAATGCGATTTCTCTCTCTCTTACTCACTGAGCCACAGAGCCACAGCGATTTCCCTTAAATCTGAAGTAAAAATGCCCATGTGCATCTGCCCGTTTTGTTAGTCCCAGAATGACGACGTGGTCATGCGACTTTAAATCTCATTCATCCCGTGATTAACATATTAGCATTCTGGCATATCCTAATATCAAATAACAGAAATTCGTAAAGAATTTAATTAAACTTTTAAAATCAAATCACAAAAGATCACATTTACATGAATAACATCTTCTAATTTAAAGGGACAATAACAAACTTGCTGGCTTGACAGCTCCAAAAAATAAAAAATAGCCTTATTCTAAGTACTAGATGTGTTATTGTCCTACCTGTTGACTAAATTATCCATTAAATCCTATTTTACTTGTCCAGAGGGTTCAAAAATATTTTTAAATCCAAGTCACGTTTGAAAAGCTTTACGTCAGGCTTTTCAAATCATTTAGTTGAATTTTTCCAATTTTTTAAATTAGGTGTGTTAAGATGAAATTTGTATCATCAATTAATTGGAATATTCTAAAATATTGCAATTTGTTGACAAGAATAAAAATTGGGACATATTATTCAGTTACAGCAATAGTGGTATTGAGCCTTTAATATATTCATTGTCTATGGTGCATAACATCATTGAATTCAATAAAATGAAATCAGAAAGGGTGGGACGATTAGATTTCTGCACGATTAAATGGAAGTTCATTTAGAACAACTGTTTTCATTACACACGCTCTATGTAAGTTGTAACGTTACTTTTTGGCTCATTTAATATACACGCTCTTGTTTTTATTAAAATAAATATCAAATAACAGAAATTTGTAAAGAATTTAATTAAAATTGACTAAATTCATTATACACGCTCTTGGTCTTGTTTTTTTAAAATAAAGACAAGTTTCAGTAATAATGTTAATATTCTGTATTTGGCCAACCAGTTTGTGTAATAACTCCTGTTGTGGGCGGAGAGTTCCCCGGGATTTTCCAGCGTGGTTTTCCATTTGTCGGTAGTGAAGGTTGGGTGGGGGGGGGCTTAAGAAGGAACGGTGTCTGTTCCTTCGGATTATTCGAAAAACCGAGGTCCCGTGTACAGTAATAAGAGCAGGCTGTGAAGCCAAAATCCGGATAAAATTTCCCCACAGCACACTATGACGTATGCCCGTCGTCGTTATCCCGGTTGGAGCAGAACAGCTCTGCCGTTAAATTCCATTTCATTTCATTTTTCATGGAGTTTTGGGGGGCATTATTAATCTATACCCAACTTTATTACGACCTCTGTCCTGGTACCGGCAACGCTCCTGTATTACAATATATAAGATATTTTTATTGCCTTAAATCTCCATATTGTACCGTGGAAAGTAATAAAGGTCCGCATCAATTGGACTGTTGAAACATTATATTTCGTATTATGTTTGATTGACAGCTGTCATGTGGCTGGTAGATTTTCGCCCACAGTTAAATACGATTCAAAGACTGGCAGTTTGACAAATATTTCCAGAGAGACGTCTTTGGATTGACTGTCAAACAACTGATAGCTTGAAATTTAAAACCCAGCGAAAACACGACAGGTAAGGAAGATAGCTGTGTACAAGGCCAGGGCGATTGGGGTGCAGATCACCATTAAGTTCCCCATTGACTTCAATGTTAATTCTGGTCTCTTTGCTGGGATTCAATTTTTCCCCAAAATTTTCGTTGAGCTGAAAACTTTTCACTACTGAAAGAGCAACAGATGGTCTGTATCCATTACAATATCTCTTAAAGGGTCATTTTGTTAGATTTAGATAAAGAGAAAATGAATACATGTATATTGAACATTTTATTCAAATTACTTTATTTTGAGGGAAGTTAACAATGGTTGTAATTTTGTCAAGATGTGTGCATTGATCGTAACCACCGTACTGGCCATTCTAGTCTTAGCCTCGCTTCTCCATTTTAAATCAAAACATTAAATGACCGAACCGTTCTAATCTATTTAACATCAGAGCCACCCGATGATATCGAGAGTTGATTATGGTCTTGTCATGTTAATAAATGTCTAATTAATAATTTATATAACATTTAAGAAGCAAAGAAAGACCTGCAATAGGCGGATTAGCTCTTATATAATGCCTCTTTAAAGTTTGTTCGCTTTGTGGCGTCTGATGTAAGACGTTAAATCCGATTTCATTTCACTTCACTCTTTCTCACTTCTGTTTAAAAATGTTCATATTCGAAAAAAAAAGTTAAAATTGGGCTTAACTTCTCGTCAACACAACTCTTCGGTCGCTTGATACTAATATATGGTAATGATAGCATAACGGCATCCCGTCTACTCTTCATCGAATCCCAACTGTCTTCTTCTTCTATTAGTGTTTAAAGTCTGCTTCCACCGAGGGTGATATTGCAGACAAGTTGTGTTATTTTTATCATCGTAGGAGTCTTTCCTGTGGGAGGAAACCGGCGTTCTCGGAGTAACCCAAGCCTAACACCAGGTATAGAAACCACGACTGCCAGCCAGAGGTGACCGGCCAGCTGTCAAGGTTTTTTCTTAACGTCCAAGTGGATGGGCGGACTTACCTTATATAATTACCATGAACATTCTAGTAAGCAATCTACTGCCCCTGCAGTGCTACTACCACGCCCCCACCGGAACCTTCCCTCCCAAAAAAGAAGCCGAAGCATGCATATATCTTTCCAAAGTACCACAGAAAAAAGACTCCCCTACCTGCAAGCGAATTATTGAAAAAAGAAATGTACCATATGTTAGTTCCGAAATGACCAAGTTTGTGTCGCGTGGACGTTAATGCAGGAAACTTTGCTCAGATATCGACTTTACGGTCTACTCTTTTATTACAAATTTCAACTGTTATGGGTTCTTTTACGTGTATACCATTAAGTATATGTTACATCAGTTTTCCGTACGGCTAGACGTAGTTGTCTGTCACATTCGCCGTCCTACTCCATTAGCAAGGAGAAACCTTGCATGTAAAATCCCGAGGAAATGTGTCGACGTCCTGGCTCGCCACCCAATGCCATACTCACTGAACCATCGCGGCTCAACGTGCTGAAAAAAAAGCGGACATGTGGCGTTTCCGCCTAATCATCATCGGATTCCAACAGTTAAACATACATTAAGCAAGAGCTAAATCTGCCTATTGCAGGTCTTTCTTTAGGCCCGACATGTTATTTAAATTATTAGACATTAATTAACTTATCCAGACCATAATCAACCCTCAGTGGCATCGCTAGCCTGCGATGTTTATTAGAATAGGTTCCGATTTCCTGTTCGACTTCCATTCATAATTTAATCATGAAATGGATAATCGTATTGACTTTAGTAATAATGAAAGAGATTAGGCAGACATTTCAATCGCTAAAAGCTCGGTTCAGACTGGATCAATTGGACTGAAATGTTCAGCAAATCCCCTTTACATCATCTAGTTTTTAACTATACTCTTCAAATAAAGTAGGGGATATTCAGAAACAATACGCACCGCTGTTTTTATTAGAGGTAACCAGTGTATGTTAATAACAGTCCAATTGCCTGCACATGAACATA